GGGCCGGGCGGCGGGGCCGGGAGCCGGAAGGTGTCGGCGGCGCTCCCCCGGTGCCCCCGCGGGGAGCCCTGCCCGGCTGCGGCCCCGCACGGAGCTCGCGGTGCTCGGGGCTGCGGCGGGAGCCCTTCCCCGCCCGGCTGCCCGGCCGCCTCCCTTACATAATGTCACCTGTGGTACCTGCGGCTCCCTCGTGTCACACCAGCGGGTGGTCGGCGGTGACGGCAGAGCGGGGCTTTCTCTGAGGTCAGCGGTCTTAAAGTGTGCGTTTGGGCGTGAGGATTCGCTTGGTTCGGGGTGAACCTCTAGGATTTTAAACCCCTAAGTAACAGCGGATAAACGTTCACCGCTGTCCTTTTCCTTTCACAGAGCTTYTGGGTGTGTAGGGAGACACAGGGACAGTGGTGTCTGAGATGAAGGTGGTAGTGAAGGCACTGCTGCGGACAATTCAATGTGAGAAACTTTGTTTTTGTTAGGATTTCATCTTTGCTTTCTTCTTTATGGTGTCTTAATAGTGCCCAGAGGTCAAAGCTTCCCTAGCAGCTGCCTTTACACGTGTGCAGTGCTTAGGCTGAGCCTCTGCGTGTCCGTGCAACAAATCTGTGGTAAATCCCCGGTGGAAGACCTGGAACTCAAAAATAGCCACATTAGGCTTGTCAGAACTGAAAAGCAATAATTGTTTCAAGTATCCCTAAAATTGGGTAAAAGATAAAAAAAAATACTGTAATAAATTGTTCTTATTTCTAATATACTAATGGAAATAGTGACACAGTTTTTCATCTTTGTAGTGTTCTTTTAAACAGATTAATGCAAATACAGTAGTTTCAAGTGGGCGTATTCTCAAGAGGGTTATGTTGTTGTGGGGAATGGACGTGATCTCAGTGTAGTTACAGTAACACAGATTTTGTTGAGTGAAAGGGGGTGAGAGGAGGTAAATGTATGAATTTAAAATATCCTGAAGTAGTCTTTAGAATGGTCAAGGGCTAAACTGAGCCGATGAGCAGAGAGGATCTTGCACTTGACTGTTTGCGCTTCCTAGTGGCTTTTTGTGCRTGTTCCCATAAACGCTATTATGTAATGGTGCTTCTCTTGGCAGGAATCTATTGTCACCGTAATTCCTGAGGTTTCTGGAGCAATGCGGCTTGTTCAGGAGAGTCATGGTCAGAACAATAGGAAGAAGAGTTCTTAAGAGGAAGTTTTAACCTCTTCAATCTTTCATGCAGTAGGACTAAACTCAAGACATCTGGATCTTTTCCAGAGTATCTTTACTGTCCTCTGTTGTTCAGCTTGTCTTTCTCTTCTAGGCTGTGCTATAGCTTAGCTTGCTGCTTACATCCTGCATCAGAGATGGGAAAACATTGACTGTCTCCTTTAATAATATTTGTTCTGCTTCTCTTTTTAGTGGTTTTTTTTTTTCTTTTCCCCTCTGAATAGAAGCAAAAGTGATAGAGTACTTAACTGTTGCTTAGACAAGAAAAAACTTGAGATAATGGAGAAAGGGAATGCTCCCTGTTCTCATCTCTAGTTCCAACTTGTCTGCATACATCAAAGGGAGGCAAAACGCCTAAGCAGAGAAGGAATTTACATATTAAATGCCAGTGCTCTAAGGATCAGTGCTCTCTGTGGTGTCTGTAGTTTATCGCTGATTTCATCTACCTCCTCTTCAGGTGTCTGCCATAAATCTCTTTGCAAGTCTGCCTCCTTGTCTTCTTTTTGTGACATGCTATTTTTGTGGGTTTATTTTGGTGTAGAGAGAATAATTCTTTCTAGTATTGTAATATGGTGGCCAGTTGTGGCACTATAGTTTTATAGACYATACTTCTGTCTTTCTAACTTTTGTGTTGTTTCTGGTAGTAATTCTCTAAGCAAAACTTAGAGAAAAAAGCAACTTTTCGTCTTGTTTGGAGTTTAATTTGTTGTCTTACCTTAGCTTGTCATGTTATTTAAATGAGTGTTTTATGGACCACTAGGAAAGAGAGTATCATATGAAAGTAGGAAAGTATGTTTCTTTAAGGGCCATTGTGTGAAGGACATGTGCTTGAAGTCTCTGCAGACAAATGAACACTTTTCATGGCTTGAAAGATCTGCAGCCTAGTCTAACTCGATTTTAAAATTGAAGATCATTGTAGAGCAAAATAACACATGGTTTGGGAGCCATAGCCTCCTCTTAGACAAGTCATTGTCAAAACCCAGATGCCCCCATATTTCCTATTTAAAGGCAGATGACTCAGTGAAGTATGGGTCTGGGAAAGTACTGATCTGGAGGCAGAAATTTCCCAACCACAACTGTAGCAGAGACTTGGGCTCTGTCGCCTTCTCTCTCTGCTTGTCATGCATATTGACCACCTGTAGACTTTGAGGAGGACCCAGTGTCCTTGAGTTGTGCAGTGCACCGTGKCTCTGCTGGAACAGTTTCCACGCAGTTATCAGCAATTTATATTTAGTGCAGTGTGTGAAGGTGGACCGAAATGGCTGCTTGAGCACAGCTGYCTGGGGAGTCAGCAAGTAGTGGTTACTGAAGTTACTGAAAGTGTATCCTGCCTGTAGTGTGRAGATTTTGATGGCATTTGTTCTGTCTTGAGGTCACCGTTGTTTTCAGCTGCTTTGCTCCTGTCTGGAAAATTGTTTCACCTCTCAGTAGGAGCAGCTTGCCATGCTTTTGCCTTAACCTTAGCTATGCAACATCGTAACTGCAGATTTGAGTTTCTGTGACTGTTCCTGATACGTCACTTCTGCTTTTTATCGGTGTACTTGCTCGCACCACAGCCATCTACTGCTGTACCGCCCAAATCCGCCTCTTGCTTGTTCTGCTTTCATGAGCAAAGGGTGTAAGTTGCTGGCCTCTGTCAGTCCAGGARGGTTTGACGCTGCGCTCGGGGTCTGTGTCAGGCCACTGCTACGGTATTTATTTTTCTCTTTTGATAGTTGCATCTCTTTTTGCTTGCCTGAGATTCTTGCAGAGAAGCCCATTATCTGCCACTAACTGCTTGAAAGGTCAGTAGCTTGGAAGCCTTGCTCCAGGGTTTCCCGGACTGTGTCCTGTTGTGCACTCTGCTTGGCACAGGGACTCCCCACAGGTTCCCTGCCCTCTGAGCCACTTGTCGGCTGCTATAACCAGCTGATCCCAGCTGATCAGGCTTAGCTGCGAGAGAGGCATCTTTCACTGGCAGGGTTGGTCCCACAGCCTGCTTGCCTGAAAGACTGGGAGGGAGGGAGGGAAGGAAGAAAGGCAGCAGGGACTGAATGCTGCTTTAGGAATATGTAAATATGTGTWTCTGAGAAACAGGGAAAGGGAAAATTTAATCCATACGTAGCAAAGGTATTGTGGTGTTAGTTACAGTAGAAATCTTTTGTCAAAATACAGTAGTCTGTAATTATGTTTATCTAGTTGTCATGACAAGTGTCATGTCCTTAGAAATGCCATCGTATGTGTTTAATGTCTTGTCATTAAGGTATTCTGTTTACAAATGGTGTTACTTCAGATGTAACACTTTAACCTCCAGCACAGGGTGTAGTAGCTGGGAATGGTAGATAACTTCAGTGAAGCACTGTGTCTTTTTAGGTCCATCCGTGTCATTCATCTGGCTTTGCTGTTCTGTAGTTAYACAGATGGTATTTTCCTTGACTCTACTAGAAATCTTGTTTGTGCAGCTGCAAAAATTGATTTCAAGTTTAATGAGTAAAAATGCTTCCTATAAATGTCAGGAAGTGASCTTTTCTATGTTGCAAAAACGTTTTCATCTGCCATTTGTATGCTGGCTGTTTTGTTACTGAGTAGTGGCCGCTATTGCTCTCTCACAGGAAGCTTAGTGCACTCACATGGCTTACTACATGATGGAGTCTGCAAAGTCTATTTTCAGACTAAGCCTAGTGATGTTAATACGAGACCAGTGAAAGCCTGGACTGTTGTTTGCTTGCTTATTTATTTATTTTAAACTGAGGATATTTATGTGCAGTAATTCAAGACAGTTTTTTGAGGAAGTTTGCATGGAAAAGCTGCAAAAGTTAGAGGTATAAAACTTCTTTCCCACTGCCTCATTTGTCCTCTTTCCCCAGCTTCTCTCTTTCCCTGTGTGTTGAACAGTGGGCAGGCTCCAAAAGTGGAGTGTACATTGAGAACTTTATCCGCAGCACAAAGGATCGATGTGTCTCATGTTGCTGTGGTGATTCCCTGAGGGAAACTGCTATCCTGGCAACCAGCCCACCAGCAGTAAATTGGCTTCCTGGTATAAGTGAGTGTTGAGTGGAATGGGTTGGTCATCACTGCTGCAGTAACCTTGTAGACCAGGCAAAGTACAGCTTTTGGAGCTGGTTGAGCAGAGTCAATGGCAAGTGGCCCTTGGAATCACTTTTATGTGGCAAATGAAACACTGCACCATATTTGTGCTATAGACTTGAAAGGCTTTCATTCTCACAGTGTACACTAGCCATAGAATGACTTCTGTTTAGATTGAACTGTGCAGGGCTGAAGTGTGCACCATTTTAACCTCATGCTCAGAAGTGAACCAGTTTCAATACTGTGTCTGTTCTTAGCTCCCTTAGCTTACACTTCAAGAGTGCCAGAGCCATTTGGAAAACTTTAAAACCATTTACCTTTTTCAACTAATTTTCCTCACAGTTTATAATATTGCTGTGGTTTGCTGCTGTTCCTGTTTTTCCCCTGCATTTATTTAAYGGGATTTTGTAATAAAATGAGTGGGTATTGAAAGAAACTCTGATCAAAACCAAGTTTGCAGCTTATTTGGGAATGAAGATAGTAAAGAAGTTACGTTGTTATATTGAATGTCTTTCTGCAGATCTTTTAGGGGAACTTAAATTTTAAGAGAGAAAGCCTACTGATACATCGGTCTTTWAAAAATGACAAAGCAAACCAAAGCCAAGCAACACCCTTCCCAACCCCCCAATTTCTGTAAGTGAGCTTGAGAATGATGTTTTTTCTCTATATAAAAATGCAGATCTTTCAATAGCTAAACTTGCAACATGATTTCCGACAGTAGCTGTTAAAGGCTGCCTGCTTTGAAAGGAGCTGTAGTTTGTATGTATAGTCCTAAACCTATAGGTTAGTGAAATGTTTGACCTATTTAGGCTGTTTGGGTTTTCTTTTTTTCTGTRAAAAACTTCTTAAAAGTCTTCAAGGTTGATATATTAGTGCAGCCCACACTAATACAGTTTTATTAGGGATGTGCTAGAATCCCCTCTGGGTATTGGAGCCCATTTTTGCTGACCGCTTTCAAAAGGCCTTTTATTTGTTCGACCTAGTAAGGTGTTCTRATGTTAATTAAAACACCTCCCCCCRCCCGTGCTTTAAAGGAAAGGATGCACACTGGGTATGTGTTGCTCTCTAATGAGCCAAAAGCCAGCTGATGTGCAGTGAAGACAACAGTAATTTATCATTCTCTGCTGTGTATGATTCATTATATTTGAAAACTAAGACAGAAACTGCCTCTAAAATACCCTGTATAAGTTATCCTTTGGTGTTGGTACGCAGACTGAGGAGAATCCCTTCTGTGCCAAAACACCAGCCTGGAAGGCTGATTGACATCTCTGCTTTTCAAGAGAAGTGTCAAAATTGCAGAGCATTGCTCAGAGGGTATGAAAGCTTCACTTCTCCATCTGCCGCCGCATATGCCACTGGCGAGCCAATGGCCATATGTGCGATCATYCTGAAAGCTTTCAAGCTAGCTTCTCTCTGAGGGCCCCTCACTCCTTTTCAAAGTCCAAAAAGGGCACGCTACTTGCTTCAGGAAAGGGAGGCTCCTGTTTTCCCCTCAGGAAGATTGAGTAGTATGTCTTTATAAGCTAAAGCACTATTGCAAAGACCTGTGTGATCATTAAATGCTGCAGATTGCTTCTGTGATGTGCAACAGAAGTGTGCTGGAGACTCACTGCAGGCTTTGCCCTGGTATATAAGTAGACTAGAAAACCATACAACCTTATTAACAGATTAATGAAAAATCATTTCATGGGTAGGGGGAGCAAGGTTGTAAGATCAGGGTTTGTGTCTTTTGGCAAGCATATGAGAGATGTGAAGACCAGTTTGCTAGGTTTACTTTCCATTTCATTAGCTGTGAGAACCTTCATCTCAAGTCTGTTTCTGGTTTCCTGTCTTGCAAGTCTTGCACACTTCTGAGACTTAAAAAGCTGACATTTAAATGTGACAATGAAATATTTAGCAACAAAGGAGATCTTTAAGCAGGCTAGACAAAAATTCCTTTCAGCTGCATGGCTTTTACTCTCGCTTGGATGACCAGTTTTCCCAGTTCTCTATTTGTTGTTGTGCTTTACAGAGTAGAGAAGATTTCTTATTAATAACCATATCTTTAAATATTGGATTTTTTTAGTAGTACTAATAAAAAGGTTGTATGTGGTGATGACACAGTAAAACATACCTGTGAGTTTTGGCACTGTATAAATAAATTTCTCCTGTGCTTATCTGGGAAGTATGCAGTACTTGCAATCACTAAAAATGCATGTGTGTATCTCACAGCTGGACTCAATGCAGTTTTAGTATGTGTATTGCCTATATTGTATTTGAGGAAGTTTCTGTCCCACTGAAAAAGACCTCATCAACAAAGCTGGAGTGCCAAAAATGTTTTTGGTAACACTTTGCTATACTTGAAACTGCTCTCTTCTTATGCTTGAGATTTTTTTAAYAGAATGCGTGAGGGTAGTTTGCATATTCTTTGATTTTGCGTAACTTGGGCATTGTATCTCAGACCCAGATCTGAATTTTGTGGGTAATGACTGTACCTGAAGCATGGCTGTGTGCCTGAGTCCTAAAAACATAATAGAGCTACTTCTACCCCTCAAGCTTCCTGCTCTTTTATGTGACAGAGTGCCATTCTTATCCCCTGTGTATTCACAGCTAATACCTACTTTTTTTTGTGCAGTCCTAGGTGTGTGAATCAACCTATCATCACTGGATCGTCGGTTTAATCTTGCTAACCTGACAACCGTTGTACGCGGGTTGTGTCCAYACCAGGTAAGATGAAAGCTGTTTCTTTATTTTTCCTGAGTCTTTGCTTTTAAAATCTGCATTTTATCCAAATGCCATGACTCTTCTGTAAACTAAAGGCAGAATATGCTGTCTTCCATGTTCTCCTCCTGCAGTGACACAGCCACTTATATTTGCATCTCTGGCTTTTGAAACAGGAAGTATTCGAAAATGTTCTTAGGTTCTGATTCTTTTGTAGCTGTGACTTAGTATTTTTCTTGGCACCTCTGTTAACCTGGTTTTTGTGGTGTTCAGATACCCCAGGCTGTGTCTTTTTTCCTTATATACTTCACTCCCTTACCACTCCCTGGTTTTCCTGTAGAAATTGCTGAAGTCCTTATTGCCTTCCAGGGTTAACATGCATGGTAAGTCACCTGTGCTATCTGACCCTCTCTCTTGAACAGAAAAAACGGGGTTTTGTTTTCGTTTAATTTTTTCCCTCCTATCTGCTCCCAAATGTTACCTTTGAAAAGTTATCTGAGAAGGACCTTACTTGTATATTTGATGTTTTAGTTGTTAAAAGCTAACCAGATATGTCTTTAAGAGAATGAAACATGAAGCTGTTATTTGGACCTCATCCTTTTATCCCCTGTTAGAGAAGGGGTATAGATTGCAAGGAGGGTGAAGTGGGGAGGAAATCCCTTTAATGCTTTCAACAAGGTTATTATCCATTGCTCTAGGGGAGTCCTAGTGCAGACAAACTAATGTGAGCCTTTGTTCTGATGCTAATCAAGATAGGGATAATTCTTCTGACTATGCCCTCTTCCCCTCAGATCCCTCTAGCATTGATAAAGCATTAAGCTCCTTTGCTACCTCCTTTTGCTGTGCCTGCCTGATGTCATTGTTTTCTGCAACTGTATATTGAGTGCAAAGATACAAGTTTTAAGCGGGCCTCATTAGGAATGCTTACATAAATGTTTTGAGATGTTTTTGGGTTCTCATGGGTGGTACTTGAGCACTTCAGTTTAATAGGTATCTTGGTGGCTATGTGTGTGTGTGTTTTTATTTTTTGTATTATTAAGTAAAAAAACTCAACACTTTGTTGATGCAAGACACCTTAGATTGAATACAGTGGCATCTTTTGCTACATGTTGGGACACATAACTGAAACTTAGAAGGTATTTTTCATTCTGTCTCTTCTTGGCCAAAGCAAACAAATGTTGTTTCTCAGATGCTTTTAAGGATTCCTTAAGAGACTAAYTTCTGATCCCTTGTCCAAAGAGCTGTGTAAAATTTCTAGAGGGAATATGTGTGCAGTTTACATAATATTTTGGTCTATGCCAGTAATCTGCTCTCAGTGTAAACGTAATCTGCACAGCATCAGAGATAAGCTTGAAGCCCCTAGGTATATAGTGAAATATGACTCTGCCTGTAATATAACACAAATAATAGTGCCTCTTCACCACATCTTATTTGTGACAATGAGGAAAGGATGGCAGTGAAAGTATGGTTGTGTCTCATTTGAAATGCTTGCATCACATAGAGTTATTAAAAAATGCCATGCAGATCAAGAACAGGAGGAAAGAAGTATTCGGGGTTAGCCTCTTTAGCCTTTCCTTGGCAGTAAGAAGCTGATCAAAAAGCTCATCCTTGTGCTCCTAAAAGCAGGTCTGCTAATACAGCAGTGCTGTTAGTGATAGTGGGCTCTCTGAGGATCGATGGTGGCAATCCTCCATGGATAATCTGTCCTGGGTCTGGCTGGGCTGGCCTTCTGGTGAATTTGTAAGGGAGTTTGCTGTCTTTCGCTAGGGCCTGCTTTCCTCTGCAGGGTAGTTTGAGACCCTTTTTGGTATCAGTATAGGACAGAGAGATGGGAATGATATAGACATTAATGATCTTCCCTAGAAGACAAAGACTGTGTATGTCTGCACAGCTCGCATGTGCATTTTATTGCAATGCTCTCATGTTTCATTTTGGTGGAGTGTTTTTTCCTAATGCAGAATTGAGGAAGTCCTGCAGTAAAAATCTGATCTCTTTGCGAACTGCACAAATTTTGGCTATGTAGACATATAATATGTAGATAAACTGAGCCTAAAAACGTGTGCAAAAATGTAATGGAGCAGCAGGAGAAAGGCTCCATCAGAAGATGCTCAGCTGAGGAGACTGACTTGAAGTGCTTTCTGCCAGTGACTGTGCACACATGCGAGGTATACATTTCAAAGTAATCTAGCCTGGCTCCTTGATGCAAACCTGCATGGAAACATTAGCTGTGGGAAGGGGTTTATCAGCACCTCCAAGCAGTGTTGTTTTTGAAGGCTGATTCTGTTGACAATATCCTGAAGAGGTACGACTACCAGATACAGTGTGGCACATTTTATATGGGTAAAATTATGGGCTAGGTGTAACAGCCTTTGCCTAATACTATTAACCAACAACTGTTAAATCCCAGGAAATGCTCATTTTCAGAGTGATTGCTTTTATGACCTGAAAATAAAAACTGGAAGATGTACATGGTGTTGGTTTTATCTTTTCTTTACCCTTGATTTGCATATGCAGGGTATTTCCTGCAAATGGGTGCCCTGTACTTAGTTATTCATATTCTATCACTTGTCAACATCCTGCTCATCTTTTGTGATTTCAAACAAAGTAAGTTGACCTCTGTTAGCTTTGTTGACATGTGTGCCTGTGCCTAGTGGTTCCCACCATCTCCAGCTGTCYGTCTTGCAGAGTGATGCACATGCTTCAGGCTCTCAAGGCATTGTTCCAGACAAGCCTTGCTGAATTTGAGATATGTGATAAGATTTATTTTTATTCTCTGATGTACTTGGTGGCAAGCAACCGTACTTGCTAAAGCAAGCTGGTATTTTATAGTCCTCTTGCATTGTGCATTTAATTGCTGCATAACTGATTCCTTCTGTGTCAAGCATACATTGATTTTGGGGTTTTTTATACCATTTTTTTACCAAGCTCCCAGTACATAGGGGAATTTTGTGCCCTCTTTTTACTTAAAGTAGTACTTGGAGCATTTGAGAGGTATTACTCAGCTTAGAAAACATAGGAGAGGTATTACTCAGCTTAGAAAACACAGTGTACTGTGTCTTAACAAGGGCTTGTGTATATCCTAAACTGTGAAGATACAGCCAGGAACTGTCAAGGTGCTCAGAGAAGTTAAAGGCAGCATTTTCTTCCCTTTCAGCATCTCACACTGACTGTTCAGTTTGTTTAATCCCCATGAGTAGTGAATTTTGTAGGATGGATGCCATAACAGTGGGGGTTTTCTTGTCTTCCATGCCACAACGATGAATATTAAATGTAAAATCAGTAAATTTTATCTAGATATTTTTTTTCTCTGGGACTCATAATTATCTTAGTCTTTCTTGTCTTTGAGTTCTTCTTGGCTATGGAGCCAAATATGTTATTTGTGACAGTGGTAGAATTTCCTCTAAGTGTAGAACATAGCCTATTTTTCAAATTGAAAAAAAAAAATTAAATGTAGGTGAGGTTCAGGAGGACATTAAGATATTTTAAGGAGGCTTTTTGAAGCTGGCTTAATACTTTTCTATACTGGGATTTTCCCATTAATTCAGCAGAGTTACTTCAGACTTGCACCATGAAGGTGATTGCTGTTAAACCCTCACCTGATGTTGGAAAGATTACTTTTTGGTCAAGGGAAGTAAAATAAGGATGTTGCACCCAGAGAATGTGGAATACCTTGAGGTGTGTGACACTATACTTGCTGTCCAAGAATTGGACACAGAGAAGGGTATTTGACTTGCACTGCCTGTGAGAACAGAGGCTGATAGCTGTGCAGGCTGGGGCTCTATTAGTCTCTGAGGAAAAAAAAAAAAGCCGTGAAGTTCGGAAAGTTGATTAGTGTAGGCAGTATTAATGCAAGCTTTGTATAGTGCTCTGAATGTTGTATAGCTGTTGCCTGGGCTTCTCTGCGTGCTTCCTGCCTTTCAAAGCATTTGCAGGAAATGGCTCAGCAAACCAGATGTTTTGATCGCTTGTGGATTTTCGCACACCTATACGTGTTCAATTTTTGAGGACAGATCAGTTTCCTCAGTACATATTTGTCTGTAATGGAGCTGTAATGTACAGTGTGCTAGGCAGTGCTCCCAGGTGCAGACACAAATCACAAAGACCAGTAACCTGTGATGAAGGATGTCACACATCAAAATGTAACCAACTAAAGCTGAAATAGCCTGTTTCTTTTATGTGACCTTATTTTTAAGATGTTGATGATATGGGTACATTTGGGAAGACAAACTTTGCAACAATTGACCAGTCTCCTGGTGTCCCGGAGCTAGTTCTTGGAATGCAATGATGTCACTTAGCTTTCTGTGAGCAAGAATTTTCATTTGGCCATAGGTTTTTGGCTTTAGGGTGTGTTTGGCGAAGGAAGTTTAGGTAAATTTAATCTGTTTTCTTTGTATTGTTATTAGAAGCTTAAGTCCCATTCATTCTCCTTAGCCTTTCTATGATGATGACATTGCTGGGGTGAGCCTTGCCCTTGGATAAATTGACTGTGTTCTATAGGTAACTCTGTTTCAAAGGATGAGCTTATTTGATGGCTTCAGAACAAGAAGAGCTAAAATAGGTTAAGTACAAAAGCAAAAGCTCATTGAGTAAAAATTATGTGCTTCCACAATTCATGGCTGTTTCCAGTGTAATAAGGCATTATGCGTGGCTACTGCATGCCTTTTACCGCGGTGTGTGACTTCATTATGTTGTGGTTTTCCCAATGTGTGGTTGTAAGGTTGCCAAGCCTTCAGCTGCTGGTGTAGGGTTGTGCCAGCCACACCTGGCACACAGGGAGGTAGTGACCTTGTAGGTGTCTGTGTGTGGGGCATGGGCAGCCACAGGGAGGAAAAGTGTTTAGGTGCAGCTGCTGATCTTTTTGTGCAGTACTGCTGAGCTAGACCTTACCTCCTTTTGCATCAAACAGAAGTGCTTCCTTACCGGACTTCACTGGGCAGGAAAGCTGAAATACTTGGTGTTCGAAAAATAAAAAAAAACGTTGCTCTGGGGTTTTTAATACCTCATGA